TCTATACTGCCAATTTTTTCGATTCTAATCACTTTGGGCAGTGCCTTGGAAATTTTAAATAAGGAACCGAGGGATGGAGAGCACAGAGCACACCCAGCTGCATCCAGCCCTGTGTCCTGGCTGCTGCTGCACGGGGGGTCTGATGTTTAGGGCTCTGCAGAGACCCCCCCCATGCTTCCTGCAGTCCCCAGGGCATGGTCACACCCGAGTGTGTTACTGTGTGCTGTGGATAATGACAGCTGAGAGGCAGATGAGGTTGGAGAAGCCCAAAACTCAATTATAACAGCTTGATCCCAGCTTCCCTCTCTGCAGGGTAACTGACAGCCTTATCATGTTATCCTCATGCATTAAAGAGACTTGATGTTGTCCAGCTCCTCGGTGTTGGTCTGTATCTCCTGACCCTTCGAATAATTGCCTTGAAATGCCAGTGCTGGTTTATTTTCTTTTTTATGTTTTACTGGAACCTGGGAAATGGCTGTAGAATAGTCTGTGTGCCGTCACTGCCTGATTTCTATCTAAGATGCGTTTGAGTTATTATGGGATGAGCCAGCTCAGTGGTGACAGCATTGCTGAGGTGTTTTGTCGAGAAGAAATGGCTCTCCAGGGCCGGGCAGACGTGGGTGTGCCAGTCTGGCCTGGAAGGGAGCGGTGCCCACGGCTCCTGGCAGTTGGTTACTGCCTGGCAGTGCCCCCAGCACCCTGTCCCCATTTCACATCCTATATTAAACACATATCTCCCTCCCAGTCTTGCTCCTCCCCACATTCCCAGCTGTCTGATGGGAATAAACTGGTCGCTTGCCACAAAACTCTGCGACAGGGCATTCACAGCAGTGGTTTGTCCAGCCCTTCTCCTGTCAGGCAGCATTTTGCTGCTGCTGCCTGAAGTGTGTGCTGGTTCCTGACCTGCTCTGGGTAAGACCCAAAGGGTCTGTCTTTCTGCAGCTGCTAAATGCTGGTGGATCCGGGGGAGCCAGTGCAGGCAGCAGGTCCTGAGCGTGCCTGAAACCAAACCAGGTGCTGCCACAACTGAGCCAGGCCAGGCTGGAAGTGCCCCCGCTGCCCACCCTGGCCTGGGTGGTCCCCAAGATCTGGCTGAGTGACGTGACTGAAGCCCTGTGACCTGGGCCACCTGGCCTGGCAGCGTGGCAGCCCCTTTCCCAGCTCTGCCTTCCCGCCCTCGGGAGGCAGCAAGACACAAAAGCTTCTGCGCCGTGTTTACCAGTTCATCTGTGTGTGCTTCCTGTTGGCCCCAGAGGAGCTCCAGCATCTGTTCCTTGCTCACTGCCTTCCCTGCTCCCTCCACGGCAGGTGCAGAGCACAGGGCAGAGTCCACCCCTGCTCTCCAGGGTGTGAAGGGATGTTTCAAAGCCAGGTAAGCCTTTCACCCCGCACACACCGTGACTTTTGCAGAACCACAGAATCACAGAATGGGTTGGATTGGAAGGGATCTTAAAGCTCATCTCATTCCAATCCCCTGCCATGGGCAGGGACACCTTCCACTAGCCCAGGTTGCTCCAAGCCCTGTCCAACCTGGCCTTGGACACTTCCAGGGATGGGGCAGCCACAGCTTCTCTGGGCAACCTGTGCCAGGGCCTCAGCACCCTCACAGGGAAGAATTTCTTCCTAATATCTAATCTAACCCTGCCCTAGCAGTAGGAAGCCATTCCCCCTTGTCCCATCACTCCGTGCCCTTATCCAGAGTCCCTCTCCAGCCCTCTCGGAGCCCCTTTAGGCGCTGGAAGGGGCTCTGAGGTCTCTCCGGAGCCTTCTCTTCTCCCAGCCAATGTTCACAGCGGAGATGCTCCATCCCCCCTGAGCATCCCCGTGCCCTCCTCTGGGGGGATCTGGGAGCCGCCGAGGGCCGGGCCGTGCTGGCCGCGCCCCCCGCCGCTGCCCGCGCCCCCCGCCCCGCAGGCGCCGCCCCCGCCCCGCCCGCCCCGCTCCCCTTTGTGCGGCAGCCCCGCTCCGCGCTCCGCTCCGCTCCCCCGGCACCGCCCGGAGCCGCGGGGCCAGCCCGGCTCCGCACGGCCCCGCACGGCCAGCGCAGGTGGGTCCGGCCGTCGGGGGGCTTCGAGGGGCCGCTGGGGAGGGAGGGAGGGGGAGTGGGTGGGTGGGTGGTCGATCGGTCGGGGTACTCGGGATCCCCCCGGCACCGCTGGGCTCGGCCGTGCCCGCTCGGGGGTCCCGTGTCCCGGTGCCGGAGTGCGGTACCGCGCCTCACCCCGCTCCTGCCGGGGAGGCGGCCGGGACCCCGCCCCGCTGCCCCCGGGGCATCGCCCCGCGCCCCGACCCGCCCGCATCCCGGCCCCGGCGGCTGCCATGGCAACGGCGGGTACCGCGGTTTCCCCTTATCCCACCGTTGCCTGGTTACCAGCCCCCCCTCCCCGGTACTGGGGAGGATGCCCCGGTGGACCCCACCCGAGACCACCGCGGGTAGAGCTGGTTCACACCCAGTGCTCCGCAGGCTGGCTGGGCTCTGCAGAGCAGGGGGATCCCGGGGAGCGGGGGGGGGAGGCCGGGGAGCGGGGGGATCCCTCCTTGGCAGCGCTCTGGCTCCCGTTGTTCAATATTGTAGTAACACCGCGCGTAAACAGCCAAGCGCCTTATCCCGGGAAGGCGTCTGGAGGAAGGGAAGAGCGTGTCTCTCAGGGTGTGTAATTAATGCTTCCAAAGAGACGGATTTTGGAGTCCATGTGGTGGAACTCGGATCTTGCAGGGATATTTCTGTGGGAGGGAAAGTGACAGGTGGTTTGTGTGGATGTGAATAAGCAGCGTGAAAGAGCAGCCTCTCGGGAAAAGCCGTGTGTGGATTAGGATGCAGCACCCATTTTGGCAAACCCGCAGTGCTCCACGGTGCTGTTGGGTCCCGTTGGGATTTTCAGTCCCTGTGGGTGGTTTAAAGACAAGCCCAGAGAATCCCTGCCCGTGCGCAGCCGGACTGTGGTTCTGAGCCGGAGTGAGGTGGAACGTGTGAGGGAGAGATGCCAGCGTGAAGTGCTGTGGCTGCCGAGCCAGGCCACCTGTTAGAGCGTGTCTGGGACCTGCTGGGGAATATCCCGTGCCAGGTGTGAGGCTGGCTGTGCCTTCCTCTCATCAGCCTAAGGTCTCCCTCTCACCTCGGAATTTTACCTGCCTGCTCGCAGCGTTTTACCCACTCAGGTAAAACATGGTGGAGAGTCACGGCTTTGCCAGGTGTTGAGGACAAGGCAGCAGCTCTGGGTCCGGCTGTTCCCCCGTGTTTGCCTTTCGGGCTCTTTGTGTGTTTCCAAGGTGTAAAGAGGCTGCCAAGCTCCACAGCTGCCACCCGAGCACAGAGAGGCACCGCTGGCACTGGCAGTGTGGACGTGTCCTGCCCTGCCCTGCCTGCCTGGGGGCTGTGCCACCCGCCTGTCTCTCCGTGCAGTGTGTGGCAGTGATGGTGGGGACACCGGCCGTGCTGCTGGGGACTGGTGTCTGCCTCGTGGTCGTGGCTGATGGTGACAGCAGGGGAGAGAACGGAGAAAATGTCCGCTCTGATGTGCTGCTGAGCGTGGCAGTGTGGTGGTACCAGCACACACGGGAGCCTGGAACAGCTTCTCCCACACGCTGCTCTGTCAGTGTGTGCTGCTAAAATGTGTTTCTCTCGCCACCAGGACCTGCCAAGTAACCTCTGCTTTGCCTCACCTGCCTGATTGGCGTGTGCTGATCCCCGCTCAGCATGCAGAGCCTGGGCTTGTTTAGCCAGTGTGCAGCCAAATGAGGGCTGGGTGTGGTGGGAGGATGGGACAGTCCAGGCAGGTGCACAGTGGGGTTTACAGCACCTGGTTATCTCCTAAGCAAATAAGGAGGGATCGGGAACAGCAGATTCCTGATGGGAGATGGTGGTGGTGGTGATGTTTGCTGCCTCCCGGAGCCCAGGGCTGGGTTCCCTGGCCAGGCAGCCATTACCTCAGCACTGCTTGCACTGGAGATTTGCCTCAGTGGAGGGTTGTCCTCGCTGCTTTGTGCCTGCCCCTGCTTGTTGGGGCGTTGTCATGGTGGGCCAGGGACTGTGCCGAGCCAGACACGGCCAGGCAGCTTTGGCTGAGGCTCCTTGATGGGTTAGGGCCAATTCCATGAGGCTGGAAGAAGCCCTGCAAGTGCAATGCTGGGGTACAGCTGAGGGATGCAGCACAGGGCGTGCTTAGAGACACCCCAAACCCATGAGAGGCAATTAGATTGCAGTAAAGTTAGTTTTGTGTCTTCCACGCAGTCAGCCTCTGAATCAGCACTGGGTTTGGGAAGTGCCGTCCATGTCGGAATGGCGAGGGCTGGAAATCTCTCCTTCTCTCTCATTTAGAAGCACGAGGCACAACAACAGGCACATTAATAACCAGATTGATGCTGACGTGAAATGGCAGAAGAGCACATCTATGCAGAGCTGGAAATGTCCATTCACACATGCACGCTCCTAAACGCCCCGGGCAACCGAGCGCTGCTGTCACGGGCTGGGGGGCTTTGCACAGAAACCAGAGATTTTAACTAGGTCTGATCTTCAGGAGATGCCCCGAGGACTCCTGACGGAAGGCGGAGGCTGCCCGGCACTGCGCTGTGATGGCTGAGACTTGACAGTGCAGATCCGTGCAAAACAACAAAAAGGAAAAGGGGCCTGGGAGATCCAGCAGCGTTACAAATTCACCTGCCTTGCTCTGGCATGATTTGCTGTGCTCCAGAGAGCTGAGCCAGGCAGGAGAGGACGGGTCTGTCTGCCCGGATTTGCCTCGCCCGGGCTCCACACACACACACACAAACACACACCAACCCAGCGGCATGGGAATTGCGAGGAGGGATTATCCAGAAGGAAGAGGCTGTGAGGAGGAGCTGTGGCTGTGCTCTGCGTGGAGGGAAGCGCGTGGCAGGGCGGCGGCAGGGCCATGAATCACCCGGGGAGGCTCCTGACACCCGGCGCAGCGTGGGCTGCAGTGGGGAGGGTGGCCCTGGTGCTGCCACCAAGCCCTGCCCTCGTGCCCTGCCAGCTGTGCTGGGCAGAGGGAACTGAGCCCCTGCAGCCTCACATCACAGGGCGGGTCCTCTGTGGCGCTGGGTTATTCCCTCAGCCCACTCTCATCCACATCCTCACAGAAAACAGCAAACTCCAGGTATTCCCTCGCTCTCTGTCGCTGCTTCCTTCCCCTTGAGCCTCTCACAAGTTCCAGATGCCTCCTTCTCGCTATGCAGATAGGGATGGGGGTTGGAAATATCTGGTTTCCCTCATAAAACAGCAGTTTGAGTTGAGAGGAAAGGGAAGGGAGCTCCGGCCGCCACTGCCCCACTCCTGCACCGCTCCGCCTTCTCTCCGTGTTCAGCCAGATCTCCAAGTTTTAACAGGAAAACCCCTTGTTTTGGTTCAAGTCGCAGGCGCTGCCGCTCCCTGTGGTGTGTGCACGGATACGTGGCAGCTCGGGGTGGTGACTCCAAACTCTCTGTCACCGATGGGGAGAAAACAGGGAGATTTGGGTGGCGAGGAAGCGGCCGAGCTCGGCGCTGCCGCCGCTCCTCGGGCAGCCGCTGTTTCCCTCTCCTTTGTGCCAAGGTGCGGCTGGATCCTGCACGAGGGGAGGCAGGAGCAGGGAGAGCGGCAAACCCTTGGCAACGTTTGCTCTTCTCACTTTATTTCAGCTTCAGGAAGAAGTGGGTGGGCCAGCTTGGAGCAACCCAAAAAACCTGTGGCTGTTCGCAGAGCATATGCTCCCCTGGAGGAGAGCTGGGCTGGTTTGCACTCCAGAACGCTGTGTTTGCCTTTGGAGCAGGGACACTGCCAATCCTGGCGCCCAGCTCGCGCGCAGATAAGTTTTTAGCGTGCGGAAGTGTGTGAATTCTAGGAATTGAGCTAGAAAAACAAAGAACATATGTGTGCTGCGTGCCTGGCTGGGCCAAACAGCGAACTCTGCCGTGCTACGTGCGGGGAGCCAAGAGCTGAGCAGAGGGTAGGAAACTCAGCGTGTGTGGCTGAGCAGGGCCCAGCCCCACGTGGAGGGGCTCAGGGCAGGGAATAATGCAAAATTCCCCGAGTGGGATGCTCCAACAACAGGCAAATAACGGCAAAATAAACAGTGAGTATCAGATGGATGGCTTGTTTGAAAAATAAAGGCATCATTAATGTTCTCCAGGAGCCAATTAATACTGTTCATGTTGTGATAGCGTGAGCTGTATCACATCTCTTGTGCACACGCAGCACCCTCGTATGGGTAATGACTCTGATTTTGCGCTGGCAGACTCGGTGGAGAAGAGATAAAGGACGGGAGATAAAGGACGTGGGGAAATGTGCAGCTACAAGTTACTGTGCCACCAGCTGTGGGTTCTTTGTGTGTGTTTCTAAGACCTGGTAATTATCCCGAATGATGTGTCTCAGCAAACGAGGGGGTTTGTCTGGGCCCAGGGAGCAATCCAGTGCAGCCCCGCGCTACACAATGGCAGCGGCAGCTGCAGGAGAGGGGGATGAAACCCTCCAGTGTTCGGATAAACACATCGCCTTTGGAATGGCAAATCACGGGAGGGGAGGGAGGGACGGGAATTATTGTGGGATGCTGCTTGTTATGATGAATGAGGCAGGTTCTGGGAATGTGCTGGGGTCGGGCTGGGGGCTGGATCCTCTGTGGGTGTGATGGAAACTGGCTCCTGAGGGCAGCACCGGGGACAGGCCATGGAGACAAATGCTGCTGGGGAGAGCAGTGGTGGGCTCTGCTGAGCCTGCTCCGTGCCTGCCAATCCTGGGAGCACGGAGCACAAACCGGGAGAAGGGGCTCTGGTGGGGTCTGGGGGACCTGGGTGCCCTCAGGAGCTGCCTTGGGGCAGCCGAGCTGCCTCCCCTGCCGCTGGCAGCTGGGGTGGGCTGGGATGGAGCCTGCATGGGAATCAGGTCAGGCTGTGGAGGGGCTGAATAGCAGCGTGCGGGATCAGCTTCCGTCAGCGAGCTGAATTCCTGCTCTGCTGAGGGCCCCTTCCTTATCGGCACCAGTCCAGCACGGCAGCTGCGGCAGCTCTGGAGCACTCGGGTGCTATCGGTGCCTGCAGGGCGCCTGATAACCCCCGTCCTCTCCCGTGCCAGCAGAGAGCCCTCTCCCTGCTCCTGACCATGTATGGCCACCCAGCCCCACCATCAGGGCACTCGGTGACTGCCTGGCACTACAGACATTAACAGGGACGGGCACGGGGAGCTGCAGGGGCCAGGGAGGCAGCACCTGGCCTGCATCCACAGCCCAGAGCCCCCGGTGTGCTCCAGCAGCCCAGCCCTCTCCTCCTGGCACGAGTCCAGTGGGTCTGCGGTGCCCTGTGCCAGCTGGCAGCACAGAGAGCAGCTCCCCCCTGTCCCCTGCCTGTCCCCTTGGAGCTGGAGAAGGGGTGCTTGGAGCAGGTTATGGGTACCATGGGTGCTGGCAGTGCCCTCCCTCGGCAGAGCAGCGGTGCCTGGTCGGTCCCAGCAGCGAGGGTGCCCATCCCAAATGGGTGCAGCAGTTTGGGACGTGCACCCCTGGCCGAGCTGGCAGGAGTGTCACAGCCTGGCCACGGTGTTGTTACACCCGGGCTGGCATCCCTGGGAGAAGGGTCGGTGCTCTGGCTGAGCATTCCCAGCGAAGGGACAGGGACAGGCTCAGCTGTGAGGGACACTGAGGTTATTTATGGTCTCTCCTTGCTGCTGCAGGTGAGTGCAGGGAGCCCGGAGGCTCGAGCTCATGTCCCACCAGGGCCACTGGCCTCATTGTAGGAGTGTAATTGCTATGCTAATTGGGACAAATTAAAGTATGCTCTGGGTGAAGGGCACAGTATCGACCTTGATGAAGAGATCACAGCCCTGGTGCTGGCCCCATTGCCTGCAGAGCAAACTCCAGACTGCGCTGAAATCTATGCCAAATGCAGAGGTGGTTGAAAATATACCACAGAACCCCACAAAAAGTCTGTCTGTCCACTCAAACCCTTCCCTTCCTGCCTTCAAGCTGGTGTGTCCCCATCAGCTTGGGCACAGTGATGACACCAGGTATTATGGCCGGACCCTGGGTGTTCCCCAGAGCCAGCCTGGCTCCTTCTCCCATGGCATGGGCTGGCCCTGCCTGCCCACACAGCCAGCCACGTGTGTCTTTAGTGCCCTTGTGCCCCTGGCCCTGTCGTGGTGCCCTCCGTGAGCCGTCTGGGTGCTGACATGTGGTTCTCCCCTCTCTTGCAGCAGCCATGGAGGCAACGCTCATCTTCCTCTGCTCCCTGCTGGTGCCAGTGGCCGTGGCAGACGGTAGGTGCCGAGTTCTTCCTGGGAAAAGGCTGTGGGACCCGGGGGAACTGCTGTGCCGTGGATCCAGAGGGGCTGGAGTGGGGTGTGGGGCAGGAACCTGTGCCAGCTGGGGTCTGTGGGTGGCTGCCAGGGCTCAGCCAGGGGCTCACTGACCTCACACCCCTTGTCTGCCCATTCCCAGTGGCCACCCAGGAGAAGGAGAAGGAGGAGGAGGACCCCTTTAACTATGGTGAGCACGGCTGTGTGTGGGATGGGTGTGCATGTGCCATGGGGAGCAACAGAGCTGCTCCCTCCCCTGAGCCCAGCAGGAGTGAGCCCCTGTGTCTCCTTCCCCAGATTACCAGAGCCTGAGGATCGGGGGGCTGGTGTTTGCCGTGGTCCTGTTCACCGTTGGCATTCTCCTTATACTCAGTAAGTTGGGGGCCTGGCAGATGCTGGGCTGGCAGGCCTGGGCAGCAGGGGCTGTTCTGGTGGTGGGGGCACTGGGAAAGGCCACATCCCATTCCCACTTTGACCACACTCACGGATTTCTCCTCCCTTGCAGGCAGGAGGTGCAGGTGCAGCTTCAACCAGAAACCCAGGTGAGTGAGGGCAGCCCGGTGGGGAACATCTCCCTTGGAAAGCCACTCTGCTCCCGGGCTCTGTCCCACAGCTGGCAGAGTGGCTGCACCCTCTGAGTGTCCCTTTTGGGTGCCCAAATCTGGGGGATGCTCTGCTGCAGAGCTCCTGGGTGGCAGAGGAGCTCCTAGAGCAGCTTCCCCAGCGTGTCCCTGTGCTGTTGGGCATCCCACCCCCGGGATGGGGTGCAGATCTCACCGTGCTCCTCTCCTTGCAGGGCTCCAGGGGACGAGGAGGCTCAGGCAGAGACCCTCATCACCTCGAATGGTAAGGTCACTGTCCCCTGCTCGTCACAGCCTCCTGCCCGCAGAGCTCCCGGTGCTGGGCAGGCTCTGCAAACCCCTCTGCTCTTCCCTTTGCAGCAACGGGGGCACAGAAGGCAGAGAACTGAACAGGAGCCATGTGGTGAGTCCCTGCCAGTCTGGGTGGTGGCACCAGGATGGGGGGGACAGCTGGGGCCGTGTGTGGGGGGTGTTCTGAGCAAACCAGGCTGCTGGGAGTGGCAGCTCTGCAATCCCAGTGTGATGTGGGGGCGAGCACTGGTAGGGGCCGGAGCAGGGAAACCCACAGTGCTGGTGGGTGTCCTCAGTCAGCCCAGCAGGAAAAGGAAGCATCTGTCCGGATTTTCCCTTGTGTTACACTTCCTTTTCTTGTGCTTCCCCACCCCAAAGCGGTTTTGGTTTTAGGGTGTTTGCAGAGCTGGGTGGGGGTCCCTCAGGGTGTCTCGCCCCGTGCATGCAGCCAGAGCTCCCTGTTTGTGCCCCGTTTGGAGAGGGGGAAGCCTGGAGCCAGTGCTGGCAGTTTGAGACCCAAACAGGGAAAGGCGTCGGTGCTGCTCCCAGCCTGACTCACTGCTCTCCTGCCCACGCAGACCCAGAGACCCGAGGAGAGACGCTCGGATCGCAGACGCCCGCGGCCTGCGAGGAAACTGAAATCACGGCAGCAGGTCCCTCTCAGGAGGCACAAAGCTGCCGTGTCTGTGTTACCCTCTGTACTCCAGCACCGGTTCTCTGTTTCCTAACCCGACTAAACTCCGCTCACCGTCCTCTCTGCCTCCCGTGGTGTGTAATGTTGCTGTGAGATGATCATTACCTCTAGGGCTAGTTGTTGCTGATGTTGTAATCGTGACTTTCTCCTCACCTTTCTCGTGCTGTGCGTGTGATTCGGGCTCTGTAGGACTGGCAGGCGCTGCCCTTTGGGCTGCCCTCCAAGCCTGGGAGCAGGGGCGGTGTGGGGCAGGGAGCGTGGGCTGTGGGGCAGGGACACCCTGTCCCCCAGCCCCGAACCCACAGCACGGCCTGCACGGTGCTGGCAGCGCTGCTGCCATGTGCCGGTGGTTCCCCTGCTGCCTCTGGGCAGGGCTTGGGGACCTGCAGTGCCCCAGGGACCTGCTCAGTGTCGCCGTTTCAGCAATAACCCCCTGCACGCCCCCAGCCCAAAGGCAGCTGTGGTGGGGGGTGAGTCGGGCAGGGACATCCCCCGGCTCGGCTCCCCTCGCTGGGAGCACTGGGGGGCTGGATTTGAGGCTGGAGGGAGCTCTGCTGTCTCGCCTGCTTGGCACTCCCCGTTCCTGTCCCTGGCTAAACCCGTGGGATGCTGCTTTAAGAGTGAGGAAAGGCCGTGGTGGTGGCAGAGAAGCCCGTGAGGTTCCCAGCACGGTGACACTGTGAAAGAGGGTGGCTGCACAGCGGTGACCCTGCTAGCCAGCACAGACCAGCTCCTCGCCAGCACTGTGCCCATGGACAGAGCTGGGCAGGGAACACAGTCCGAGGGCTACAGAGAAACAAAATCCTGTCCGTGCTTGTCTCCGACAGGGAAGGGGCAGCTCCCTGCCCCTCCTGCTGCCTTGTCACTGCCTGTGCCACCCCTGTCAGTGCTGAGTGTTGTCTTGTGGTGGTTCCGTGTCACTCCCAGTGCCAGCTGCCCCTTCCCCCGTGGAGCAGCAGCAAGAGGTGGTCTTGCACACCTGAGCTTGCACTGTGGTGATGTGCTGAGCCCACAGTCCCTTGTCACCTTGTGTTTGCTCATGGGTCAGAGGCAAAACTGTGGGTTTTGGCCCTTCCCCAAGCCCATGGACAGGCAAAGCCTTGGCTGGGGCTGGGCACTGCCAGCTTGGGTGTGGGGCACTTACCTGGGCAGCAGCAGGGCATCACCAGCGCTGCACTGAAACACCTCAGGGTGCCATCCCCACACCAGGAAGGGGGTCTTGTCCTCCAGGATGGTTTTGAGAGGGGTTTCTGCTGTGCCCAGCCCACTGTGGTGGCCCTGCCTTCAGGGTGGGCTGTGTGCCTGGTGTGCCTCGGTGGCACCGGGAAGCTCTGTCCCATCTGTGCCAGGCAGAGGGAGCGTCTCCAGTACTGTGTCCCTTCCCCAGTACTGTGTCCCTTCCCTCCCTCCTGGCCTGTCAGAGATCTCCCAGGCAGAGCAGACCCCCCGGCCCGGCCCCTGAGTGCCAGTGGTGTGTGTCCCTCAGAGTGCCTGTGCTGTCCATAGTGTGCCGTCGGTGTTAACACGAAACAAAGAGACCCCTGTGGTGTGTAAAATGGCCAAACCCTGACTGTTGTAAAATAAACTGAGCTATTGTGTTTCCTTTTAAATAGGCGAGTGTGCTGCTGTGCTGGAGGGGCTGGTGTGCTCTGTGCTGTGACCTAAGGGGAAAGGAATAAAATATCGTTTCTATTGGTGCCTGGCTGCATCATCTCGAGGGCCGTGGCGTTCCCAGGGCAGCCTGGCTGGGCGAGGCTCCGGCAGCTCCCACGCTGGGGAGAGAGGGGCAGGGGCAGCGCCCTGGGCAGCACAGACGGGCTTTGTGCGGGCAGAGCCCCCTCCCCGAGCTCTCCCTTCTGCCGCCAGGAGCATTTCAGCGAGAGCCAGAGCCTGTGTGAAGGGAGCGTGGGCACAGAGACTCCTTGTCCCTCAGCTTTTTGGGAGCTGCCGTGCTGGGCTGCTGCCGCGCCCGATCCGGGGGATGCCGAGCGCTGCCAGGGCACTGTGACAGCAGTGCCACCACCACAATGGCCCCACACAGCACCCTCCAGGGCTTGGCTTCGCCCCGTGGCGCCAGAGCTGGGCTGCTGTGGGCTCCAGGTGCCTGCACTCCTTGGCCATGCCAAGGGGAGCCTCCTTTGGGGGCAGCTCCCCCCGGCACTAATCGGCTTGGGCGCGTGACTCCCGCCCGCTGATTGCGAGATTAGAGCAAACTGGATTGCACAGCCCTCCTGGCAGCTGGCCTGGCTGGGCTCGGGGCTGGCACCACCCCGGGGAGCACAGCATCCTGGTACCCCGCTGCCAGCAGGGATGCACCACGGGCATCGCTGGGCCAGGACCCCTGGGATAGCTCGATGCTGGGCTGGGAGGTGCTGCCCCGGCTGTGGGACACCCGCAGTGCCAGGCTGGGAGGGCGGAGTGTGCTGCCTGCTTCTCTCTAGCCAAAGGCAGCCTCAGCCTGTATCCCAGCCCATCCCTCGGGATCGCCACCACTGCGGGAGGTGAAGCCCAGTTGGGCTGGCACTGGGAAGGTGAGGGAGGGCTGGGACAGGGACACCCACGGCTTGGGGTGCCCGGCCCTCCCCGCCGGCCGGCACGGTGGGTTCTGCCCTGCCCTGCCCTCCCCTCCTTCCCAAAGGCGGGCGGGAGGGAGCCCTGTGCCTCCCCTCGTGACTGCGATAAACATTACACCGAGGCCATTAATGTTTAATGAGGTTTGTCTCCCAATTAATGCGCTTTCCCGTGGGTGCTCCACTCCCAGAGCGAGGCACCCGCCGGACGACACGCCGAGGCAATGGGTGACGGTAAGGGCAGGCACCTTCACAGGGGCATCTCCGTGCGAGGAGCAGGGCTGCTCCCTCCTGCACGGGGGAAACCCTCACCAAAGATTTGGGGGGGGAGACGTGGGGATGGATGCTCAGAGCTCCACAGCCCGCTGGCGCGTCAGTGCCGGCTGGTGTTTGGCTTCTTGGGGTGATTTCTCCTTCCAAAGGGCTCCCGGCAGAGGGATGAGCAGTCAGGTAAGGTGGCTGAAGAGGTGACACGCAGCTGTCAGAGAGATGAGCCCGCAGGCGTGGAGGGGAATTGCCGGGGTGCACCCTGGTGCGAGGGGAGAGCCCTCAGGGCTGCTCAGCTCTGCGTGCCAAGGGAGCAGAGACACCGAGTCCTGCGGGCAGCGGCGCTTCCTGAGGGCACTGGAGCCGGGCCCATCTGCAGCTTCATCTGGAGCTGGAGAACTCCTGTGCATCCTGCGAACGCAGCCTGCAAGTGCATCCCATGAATCCACCGTGGATGTTAAACTTCCTGGGATGAAACAGGAGTTTGGGAAATATTTACTGGCTGGGCTGGACACTGAGGAAGTCACAGCCCGCATTGCTGGTCTCTCCCACCTCCATGCCACGAGCCCAGCGCCCAGGACCTGGCTCTCACTGGGATTTCTCCTCTTTTCCAGAGCAAGCGCCCGAGCAGGGCCTGGACAGGTTCAGCTACGGTGAGTGTGTGCCCCGGGCAGCCCAGGGGCTGCGGGCAGGGGGATGGGCAGCCCCCTCCAATACTGCCCTGCACTGTGGGCTCAGCCCCACTCCCTGCCTGGGCTGACACCCCTTGGCTCTCGTCCTCCCCAGACTATGACACCATCCGCAATGGGGGGCTGATCTTCGCCGTTGTGGCTTTTGTGATCGGGCTCCTCATCATCCTCAGTAAGTGCCTGGCTGGGCTGGACACCCCCTCAGCTCTGTTCCCTGCACGTGCCCCCCGATCCTCTCACCTCCCTCCTCGGGCTGGGGGTCACCAACCCTGCCCCACAGCACCAGGGGTGGGCACAGCCCGCCCCAGGGCTGCCTGGGAACTTTCCATCCAGGCACTCTCCCAACAGAGAGCGAGTTGGGAAGGAGACCACGTAAATATTTAGTGTTTCCCTGCCAGCACCGAGGCTTCAGAGGGAAGGTCACTCATTAAAAATAGCAGAGAAAACTCTGACATTTCCAGAGCGAGAAACCAGCCTTCCCAGAGCCCTTGGATCTCGGCAGCCCCCAGAGTGACCCAGTGCTGGGTGTGCAGGGCACCCTGTGACCCTGCCTGGGTGTTCTGGCACTGCTCCATACCCGCACTGCTCCGTGGGGCTGGGGTGGCTGCAGCACCGGGGCTGGTGCAGGAACAGTGCCCAGTAGAAAACCAACAGCATTTGCAATCGTGGGACAGCTTAGAAGACAGACAGACAACTTCCAAGCGGGTGTCTGTGACTGGGCAGTGCCAGGGCTTGCAGAGGTGAGATGGGGCAGGGGGAGGCTCAGCCCCAGGGACCTCAGTCGCTCCTCTTGCCCCCAGGCCAGCGGTTCCACTGCGGAGGGAAGAAGAAGCCGAGGTGGGTGTTGTGCGGTTTCCAGGCAGCCTCATCTCTCCTCACCATCCCAGTCCTGACAGGGGGGATCGTGGTCTGTGCTCCCCCCACCGTCTCAGCGGCGTTGCCCAGTGTAACACATCTCCCTTTGCTTTTTGCTCCACAGACAAGGGAACGAGGAGAACCTGTAGGTGCAGGTAGGCTGCAGGAGGAGCTCCAGCTGGCAGCCAGGCTCCCTGAGCAGGGAGGGATGCTGCGGGGTGCTTGTACTTCAGGGAAGTACCTACAGGGGGGTTTTCTTGGGACGCGCTGGCCATGTAACCCTCCCTCTCTCTGCTTTCAGACCTGCTGTGCCACCATGGAAGCAGAGCTCCATCCAAATCCTCGCCGAAGGCCACCCCTTCTCCCGCTCCAATGGATCCATTACCCTGCAAGGCCAAAATGCAAATTGCCCTCGTGCTTCTTCTCCCTCTCTTAGACCCAGCGAGAGTTTCTTGGCTAATAAAGTTCAAGCTCAGAGAGGTTAAACTCTGTACCCAAAGGCGTTTCAATCGCCCACTCTCCTGGCCCAGCGCCGAAAGAACTTTTCTGCCCCGCGGGCATCTTCCACCCCAGACCCAGGAAAGGTTCCTGCCGGCCCTCCCTCCCCCCGGCATGGAACAGCCGGCTGGCTCCACCCTGGCTCTGCTCCGGATGTTTCTTCTCCCGGCGGCAGATTCCCGGGTCCCGCGGCACGTGCCTTTCCCTTGGGATGCTCGGGCAGCGGCTGGAACGTGTGGGGCTGTTTG